GCATGGAGAGGTTTTTGGTTTCTCATCCTTGCTGCCTGTAGAGTGTGGTCCCTGCACCAAATGTTACTCTGGAACTGCAATAGTTTTCATCTCAAAGGGAACTCTGAAATCAAAAAGCCTGGAAATTAACTATTACACATGGAGTGGGAATAATAGAGGGTCAGATTCCAGAAGCCAAGTTATTTGCTAGTGTAGATGTACCAAATAGTATTTTACAGCTGACATTTCACCAATACTGAGTCAAGCGGAATAATTACCCTCAGCATCTTACTTATAACATCACTATTAACATGTCAGAATGTGATTTGCCTTGACTTTCATTTGGTTTCTTTTCCACTCTAACTCTTAGACCTTTTTTCTTGCCTTTGCATTTTTTTGTGCAGCAATTCCTAATCTAGTATTGATGAATGTGATTTCCTCCTCCAAAGTGCAGCTTTTGACAAACATCTTACTGAATTTTATCTTGATGATTTAAGATCATATCTGAAGATTATTACAGTAATTTTGAATCTTGATCCTGATCCCTAAAGCATTTATATGCCCTATGCTATTAATTACTATCATTCATAGATTTCATAGATAGTCACAATTAATTTTGTCATCTAAATCACTAATGAAAATATGTTTAAAAGTCTTAGATGTAGTCTCTAATCTCTAACTAATTCATGTGCTTATATGCATCCTATTTCTCCTTTAACCTCTAGCCTGAGAACCCCCAAGAGGCACCTCTGTAGTTGCAGAAGTATTTAAAACTTGCATTCACATCTAATCTGGTTCACAAAATTATATTTAAGTTACCAAACTGATTGCTTATGTCCCCAAAGAGGAAGAAGTCTGTCACTTACTGAGCTCTGCATTAATGTGAGTTAGCTGCTCTGTCACTAATTTTGCATTCCAATGTAGAAATAGGTAATCAAAAGTGGGCTAATGATGCTATATTTTTCTCATATGCTATTACAAGCACCACACATTTACTCCACTATATTTATAGAAATCCATGGGTTTGCAGCAAATTGCCTCCTCAAGATTTATTGTTATCAAGTGACCTACTTTTCACCTTAGTCAATTTGAACATAGCAGATATATTTACTATCAGGTACTGAGACAAGAAATGTGGTATTGTTTTGTCTAGATCAGCATCCTTTAACAGCCATGCAGTCTATTAAATATCTATTACAGACTCTAGATTTTATAAATTATTTCTAATTGACTAGATGTCAGTGGCAACATTCAAGAAAACTCAGTTACATGGGATTTTTCATTGATTTTCCCCATATTAGAAAATGAAATGTCAGCTAGCATTAATTGCATTTTCACAATACAAAGCATAGTGCAAAAGTAGGTGCTAAGTGAAAGCACTTCTAGCCTAACATGCAAATGAAGTATTTTTTTTAATTAATCCAATATATAAACAATTACTACAGTTATGTGCCTCTGTGGGTAAAATTTATGTAAATGCAATTAAAATCTATAATATGGAACCATTTTGCAGGCTTCTAGAAAAAATGCATTTAGAGACATATTCTGCACTTGTTTGTCCTTATCCACTTCTCTCTCTGCATCCAGCACCACAGAAGCTGGTTAATCCATCATTTCTAGGAGTTCTCACCTACAAGGATGGCATCACCCCTGACATGAGCTTGCACCACTGCTGTCCATGACTCAAAGACAGAGCTGCTAACTTATATTGTCTTATAAGTACACACATGTCTACCCAGGCTGTGTGCCATTACTAAGGAGGGTATGATCCAGAATAAAGTTATGAGACTGTGACACATATATTCCTTACCATTGAAGATTCAGAGTTCAAAATGTGTTGGTGCATCTTTGCTGCCTGCCTGTGTCTGCATTTGTGTGATCAGGCCTTAATGATCATGTATTTCTTCTACAGGTGCAGTTCCATAGATTTTCTTTCACGTGATCACATTTACCAAGCCAGAATTTACCATCAGTCTGTACAATCCTAGTGAGATGATATTAGAAGTCTGAATGTGAAAATCCATTTGACTATGAACAATTTACAGTAGTGCTAGAAGTTCTTTTGTCTTTGTAGAGAAAGAAAAAATCCATGACCTTTCTAAAGTATGTGATGTGGCATTCAATTTCCCTGCATCTGATCGACAAGCAAGGAGGAAGTTGTATCTTCTGCCATGGTAGACAAGCATAATTAAGCAATAAGGCAATGGAGGTAGTTGTGATTATCTTAGGATGCACCTGGGAGCTGCCTTGTTGCTATTTTAAAACATCTTTATGTGCAGGGAACTGTATTAATTTCTGCTGAGAAAGATAAAGTTGGCAGTTTGGAATGCTCATGAGCAGCAGTTTCAGCTGTGCTTTACAGACAGTGATGTGGTGCGTTCACCCCAAGCAGTTAAGCTTCTCCTTCAGCAGAAGGAAAGATGGAGCAGGCTGTAAACATTTAATTGACAGTTCAGATGAAGAAAAAAAAACCAAAAAAAACCCAAAACAACAACAACAAACCCACATCAACCAAAAAAACACCAAAAAACCCCAACCCACAACCCCTCCCTCAAAACAATTATGCTTTGGCTGGCTTCCAGCGAGTGCAAAACTTACATTTTTACCAGTTTAGAATAAAAATATGTTACCTCCAACACTTGATTTTTCAGGGAAGACATCTCTGCATAATTAATACTATTGCATCCACATTCTAATTTATGCATTTTAATTATATCAAAGGCCTGGTGAATAATTAATGCTAGCAAAACAATGGGCTTGAAGCATAAGCTGAAAAGTATCACTTTTTAATGGGCTCTGTAAATTTAAATAACTAATGAAAGCTATTTAACTATTTGATTGTGAGTATATTTCTCCCTGATACAATCAAGGATTAACTACCATAATTGAGCAGCTTCTCAAGTGGAGAAATGTTAGCTCAGGTTAGTTTTTTTCTTAGTGTACTATAGTATATTGACCCACCTGAGCTATATGCTTGCAGGAAAGAGATTTATTTGCAAGTTTCTCCTCTGGGAGGAACTGGTATGACATTGGTATCATCAGTAAGATGTAAAATCAAAATTCTGGGCACAGCGTTCCCCTTTGACCTCCTGTCTTAATTAGGTCAGTTCATGTAAGTTTCATGGGGAGATTTAGAATTGAATCTAAAGAAATACAATATAGAATTTATTATCTTTGAGTTCAGCAGTCCAAGAATTAAGGATGTAGGCCAGGTTAGTAATTTAGAGCCTTGCAGTGGTCGGAGAGAGATAGAACCTCTGGAGAATTTAATCTCATCCTAAAATGGGTTTTTGAAATAGATGGGATTAATAACCATTTGGCAGTGTCTAGCATTTTTCTCTTTCTTACAGAAGAAAGAGGATTCTCTTTCTTACAGAAGAAGCTTAGGATTCCGTCTTACCCATACACCTAACTTCTAGACAGCCAAGTTTAGATGAAGTTAATCTCAACAGCAAAGGTAACCTCTAAAACTATGGTGTAAAAAAGACCTACTCACACCAATCTGATGGCGTAAAGAGAAAAAGAGGCAAAACAGAAGGGCTCACAGCACAGAGCTGTGCAAAGTTCAGTGAGTCACACTAACAGCCAGCATCAGTTGCTTGGCCAAGTCTCAGATGTGAATGGTGTCACTCTTTAAGAAAGTCCCTCCCTCTCTGAAGGGCTCAAAATGTGCATTCATATTAATCTGCCATACCCAAACACCAGCCTCCAGCCTGCTCTGCTCCCTGGAGCTGTGCTGGGCAGTGTGATGTGCTAAGAGCAGGCTGTCCCAGATGTGCAGCATGTCCTGGCATTCATGCACTCTGAGTTTGTCACGCGAAGAGTGGTGAAGGCATGTGGACAGCAGACAACACTGACGGCAGAGCATGGAAAGCCTGGCAGCAGAAAGTGCTCATTTCTTTAGGAGAGTAAAACGGTAGAGCAAATGATGAATTACTGCAATCCCTGGCAATATATTACATACACTCAAGAAATATCAGCTTGTCAATATGAATACAAAATGAATAGCTTCTACCAACTTTTTTTTGTTCTTGTTTTCCATATCAGAAGTTTGCATTTTAATGCAAAATGTTTGAGGAAGTATCATAAAAATAACAACAACAGTATAATGAAGGACTTTTAAAAGAAATAAGATTGACAAACGCTGCTGCCAATTTTGCATATCAGAGCCTTTATTTAAGTGCATTAATTTGAGTGCAATAACTTTTAGCTCCTATGTATGAAATTTTGTCTTTTTACCTAATATTGTGTGTTGAATTGAAGTCCTTGACTCTCCACAGCACTCACTTGTGTCACTGGGGAGATATGGAAGGGAACTATGTAGGAACTAATTGTGTTTTCCCTGTTTGCAGCTGTGTTTGCTTGCATGAGCCTGGACATTAGGTAGTGCTCTCCTAGTGGTTGTGGCCTGCGTCAGGCAGGCGAGAGTTACTTTCACTTTGGTCAGGCTGGATGGTGTGTCCCTTCATGCAGACGTTGGGAAGGACAGGGAAGAACAGAAAAGGCTCTTGCAGAGGTGGCTCTGCTTCAGGGATATCTCAGCCAGCCATAGAAATCCGCTGCCTGGCCCCAGTGAATATTTCATAGAAGTCAGAAAGCAGAACACAAAAGAAAATCTGCCATAACATCAGATTAAACCAGTTTATTTCTTGTGAGCAATAGTACCTGAAAGAATAGATGTTGGGGCAATCTGGGGCTGAGTTAACAGGCTGACACTGGGAGCTTACTTGTTCTTCACTGCTCAGCTTTCCTGCCCAGGGGCTAGGCAGTATCCTGATGGATCCTCTGCACCCCGTTCCTCTCTCCTTACGGCAGAACTTACAATGAGTAGTAAGAACAATTCCCCAAGATACACAACCCTTTTATTGAATCCCACTTAGGATCAAAACCTGCTTAGCATGTTTGGGATGGAGTCTGGCGTTCCAGCTGTGCAGGGCTTGCAATGCACCTGATGAAAAGAGCTGCTGAACAGGAGTTCAGGCTCTCAGGTGAAGAGCCTCCCTTTGCTTCTGCCTTTGCAGGACTACGCTGAGAAGGAGAAAGCTGCAGCTAAGGCCCTGGAGGATGTGAAAGCTAACTTCTACTGTGAACTGTGTGACAAGCAGTACCACAAACACCAGGAATTTGACAACCACATCAATTCTTATGACCACGCTCACAAGCAGGTAAACCTGATGTCTTGCATGTCATGACAGTCTCTCTTCCCTCCTCTTTGATAGTGGGAGGTTTCTAAATTCACCCAAGTAGAAGACAATTCATCATTTGATGTTTTCAACTTTAACATGCTACTTTCCATTAAAATAAAATGGAAAATATTCACTTATATCACAATTTTTTTTAAGCTATTCTGACTGAAAGACCTTCCACTGTAGCTTTAGATTCATGCTAAATACTGATGTCTGGACTTAATTTGATATATTTAAATGTGGTATTACTTAAAAACTGCAGGCAGGGGGAAAGACCACTTCCTCAAATGACCAGGTCCCTCTTTTGACACTCCCAGACATGGAAAACCTCTATTCTTCATGCTTTTATCAGAAGGCCTATGACCATGTTTTTTCAAGCTGGTTGTGCTGTTTCAAGGGAAGAAAAGAATTCTGACAACTTGTTTTTTTTTTAAACATCTGTTTCTGGATTTAAAATTTATGTCTCATAATCTTTCTCAGACGAAATACATTTTGCCTTGCATACACAACGACATAAAATAATCCTTTATGAGATGTTGGATTCCTAGAAAAAGATAATAAATACTAATTTTTTATCACTTTTTTGTATTAATTTTATCACATTTTTATGTAGTAGGTATATTTTACCCATATGTGCCTATTAACTTTATTTCATGCATCCCAATTTTCCTCCAATTTTAGCAAAATCCATATTTCAATTGGCAATATGAAAGGAAAATGCAATTAATTCATATTTACACTTTAGAATTTAAATAAAATTGTTTGTGAAGTCCAGGAGTGAATGTTTCTGAACTTCTGAAGCTAGAGATCACATCTGCTGACCTGGCATGCTAAGGACATGTTACTAGATTCACAGATGGATCTTTTTCTCCTGTATTTCTGCTAGTGCTTGCATTTAAGTGCTCACATATTGCGTGCATCCAAGTTGCCAGGGAATTAGTGTCCTCTGTGTGATCACACTTGTGGGTTCATGAGGGTCAGGAGCTACCTCAAAAATATGTGAAACCATTAGAAGTTGCAGGTATTTCTGAACAGAGTATTAGAAATAATAATGTTGAATAAAATGAGCAATGCTAAAGGCAAAACTCCTTGCTCTCCCTGAAAGCAATCTTATTGTCTTCTGCAGTATCACAGAGGATGTAAATCACCCTGGAGTTTTCTGTGCGCATCTATCACAGCACTTCATTAAAAAACTGCCTAAGGTCTGCCCACACATCAAATGCTGAACCATCCTGCTGAATTCAAGCACCCCAGGCAGCTATCCATGGGTAATAATGGGGCTCTTTTGTCCCATCAGTCCCAAACCAGAGTTATGCATTTATGTATAAATCAAAAGCAATTCCCCTCATCACCATTTCATTAATTAATCCATACATTTTTAGAATAATACAAAACAAATGCTTTTCTAGATCTTAAACCTGTGACTCTAATCTCTATAAATCCCCATTTGCTGCACAGAAGATTTTTTCACCCTTCAGCTGTTTTTTTAAGTCCTCAGAAATGCATCTGAACTCAAATGGAGTAATTTGTGCTCTTTCCTCTTTACACACTCCCCCTGCTAAAAGCAGTTTATGCTAAATCAAACAGCCTGCTTCACACACCAACTATGACTTGGTTGTTGGGCAGGGAAGGTTTTGGCAAGTTTCTGTTATAAAAGGGCTTGTTTAAGCAAAAAAGCTCTTCTTAATTTTCAGATAAATTTACTGCTTTAAAAGCTGCCAGACATATAGTGCTGGAAACCAGGAGTCTGCACAGAAACGCACGACACATACAGAATATCAACTGGCAGTGCAAGCTCACCTCATCCTGCCCTTTCAGATGTAGTTCAGAAGCTCAGTTAGTGCAGGATTAGCTAGCTACCCTCCTGATGTGACAGGGTAATTCAGTGTCTTCTCCCCTCTCGCTTCTTACCTGGCCAGCCAAGTCTGGGAAAATAATTAGTTTGCCTCTAGGAATAGTGTAGGTGTTTACTCTGACTTTTATAGTCAGTCACAGAAAAGCCTCTCTTCATGCTTTTATCAGCGTAATCTTAAAAAAAAAAAAAAAAAAAAAAAAAAAAGTTAATTTATGGTTTCCTGGTTTCCTGTGGGGTTAGTTAGCTTCGTTTCAAAATATTTATTCTGGGAGAGACATTATCCACCTCAAGAGCTTCTTCCTCTGAAGGTGTTTTCTGTTTTCCAGCAGTAATTCGAGGGTAGCTTTAGTAATCTGCATGGATATGTTCCAAACATCATTCTTCTAATAGAGAGTAAATTAAAATCAGGCACTCCTTGCATCTCAGTAACAATACAGTATAGTCGTCCCACGTGATTTCCCATTTTAATGCTACTACTTCACAATTTGTATTAAAGTGGAAATGAGGTTTAGAGAAGATAGAAAAAAGGATATTGCACTGAGTGCTTAATCATAAGTCTTTTGTTTGTCTTCCAGAGGAAACAGATTTTATTCAGAGAATTGTGGCTTTAATCTCCAAATATTATGGTTTCATAAAATTAATTTTAAGATCCATTTTCTTACAGATTATTTCAACCAGTTGTTATAGCAGGAAGTGCTGAATCCTGGACCCAGCAGCTGGCATACCAGCCATTGCCCTCCCTGTCCTCAGAGGCTGCAAAATGTTGTGATGGCAGTCTGGCCTTGTTTGCATAAATGTTCTTTCTGCTGTCTTTCTGTGTTAGATTATTCTAAAGCAGTATACTCAGACATGCTTTGTCTCTCTCTCTGCTTGCTACACACCTTCAAATTTATAGGCATAAAAATATGGTGTATATGTACATATACAAGCATAAAATTTTGACGGACGATCAAAGATCAATGCCTATATCTTCATTATCTTCTAACACTATAATGACCCTGGAGAGTTCTAATGTTATCTGTCTATTTTTGAGTAACATTAGTAACATTTTCCCACTATAAAGCAATTCTTATTCCTTTGGTTGTCTTGTCAGCATTAGTCTCAACATATTTCCTAACACACTACAAGAATTTTTCATTGATAATACCTGCAATTGAAAATTCATTTCTTCCAGTGCACTGATGGATAAAGTGAGCACAGAAAATCTGTCTGATTTGAAGTTTGCACTCCCATCCAGCTTTACCTGAGCCCTGTGCTGTTAAATCTGATATTTAATAAGGCTGGGGCAGGAGTGGGAGTGACTTTCCTGGGAGAACCTAATCTTTCATCATCATAAAGCCCTGGGTATACATCTCTCATTGGCCCACCACATCAGCTAACCCACTTGAAATCACAGCTTTTTACTTTTGTGTTTTTTTCCTAAGACTTTGTGAAGTCAGGGGTAGCAGTCACAGGGAGTAGCCTATTTGATAAATCTGCAGTTTCTCTCCTCAAGCATCAAGGTGAAGGACGCTCGCTCTCGCTTGCTCGCTGTATCTCTGCAGCAAAAGTTAACTGCATCAGAACGGGGTACCTGGGCTCTGCCAGAGCTGTGTGAACACTGAAAAGCACAAGGGTCCTGGTGAGAATTCATTTAAAAGTGATCAGGATGTAGAGAACCAAGATAGGCTGCCACCTGAAAAGGTAATATATGTGGGAGTAGGTTAAGCTGAAAATAATGTATAGGCAAAGTTCTTTTTAACTATGTTGTGTGCATCTTTAAAATGAAGCCAAATTTCAGCAGAGATGTCTATTTGGTTGACATTATTAAATGGAATCTTTTAATAGCTCCAGGTCATGCACAGTATTCATTCATTCAGTTAACATCAAAGTAGTTGGAGCTTTTAATTTTTTGTATAAATAATCCTTCGCAATGAGCAAGGCTTTTAGATGTCAGCAAATGAGAAAATCACAAATCTGTTCCATGTACTGCAATATAATAATTGTGATGATAATAATAATAATAATAATAGATATAAGCAGTAAAGAAAAACAAGACTGTATTGCCATCTTGGGGTTTCTGATGACAAAGCAAGCCTTTAGTTTTGTTGTCAAAATTTAACCATACAGTTAAATGCATCACATTCTCTCCTGTGTCAAAAAATACACAAATTAACAAAAACCTATAAAAAGCACCCCACAACATAAATTTTAGTGTCCTCGAAGCAGACAGTACTAAGTAAGCAAACAGAAGTTTTCAGTCTACTCTAGTTTACATGCACATACCTGCATTTCAGTATTTACATCCATGCACACTAGCATTTGGTTATATTTTTGGCATGAGAGACTGATTTAGTGTGTACAGCTGTTGGCACTTACTGTTAAGCCTTTATGGTGCTTGTGGATTTAAACTCTAATTCAGGCAGAGATTTAGCTCCTGTTAAACTTCAAAGCTAGCAAATATGCTTACATTTTAGCTAGCATTGCTGCTACCACCCAGAAAATGCACTGATAAGTTAACACAGAGAAAGCTCCAGGAATGAGTGTAAGTGCTGAGATCTTGTTAGTTCATCTTGAGGGTGTTTTTTCCAGCATCTCTATGTTTATTGGAGGAAAAGTAAGTCATGTCTTTTGGTGCCAAGGTAAACCTGTATTACCCAAACAATTTTCATTTGGAGGAAAAATAACTGGTTTGGCAATATCTGAGGAATTTCACCTTAGGATCTGGGAAATTAGACAAACATGTTAAGAAACCTTCTTGTGGACAAAGGAATGCATATTCAGCTGTAAGAACACACTAATCTCAGACAGGACTACACCAGCATGAAGATCCCCTACTATGTGTGCTTGTGTAGTCTCTGCTTTTTTCCCTTGGAAAATAGGTGGACTCACTGTTCCTCTGGTCCTCCCATGAGGACAGAGACAAGGTCCTTCCCTGCAGTCCCTGCTCCTGTACCTCTGCATCAGGACACTGGCCTTTAAAGAGATGACCCTCTATAAGCAGGACACTGGCCCTGACTTTTTGGGCCATGTTTTGCACAGGGGGTCTGTACTCTGTGGCCTCCTCAGGAAACAACCTGAGTGGTAAAAGACCTTGTAATTTCTTTTTCAGTTAGCAAGTGGTGCTGTCACCAGGTTTCTGCTC